ACGCCGAGATTGGTCTTCGCAAAGTCATCCAGCTGCGGGAGGAGGAGAATCAAAGGCTTCTGCGGGTTGAGTTTGTAAATCTCCGAGACGAACTGCTTGGTTGTCAGAATGATGCCTCCAGTGAGGTTCGTAGCCTGAAGCCGATGGAGTTGGGAAAGCTGTGTGCCATGCTCATCAACAAATGGGTGGGATTTGCTAAGGACGAGATCTTCCCACTTCGATGGTGTGGTAGCTGAGCGTGCCCATGGGTCATGCACCACGAGTGGATCGAGGGCAGTGGATGCTGGCGGTTTGGCCTGACTGGGTGCAGCTGGTGCACTGTTGCCAGCACCTCCTTGTTGGTATTCATCTGGAATGCGGTTCTGGGCAATGATAAAGACGTGAGCAAGAAGAGCTGTAGCCGCAAAGGCAACAAGAATGCGGTCCTGACAATGTGCCCATTCATCTTGTGCACGAGCCTGAATCCAGGGAAACCATTGGGCATAGCGGTGTGTGCGCAGTGTGGCAAGCTGAGCTTGACTAATTGCAGGAGCCTCAAGTCCAAAACGGAGAAAGAGAGTCCAAAGCAAAAACCAACCACAAAGATGCTGCGGCGGTTGCACAACAACAAGCTGGAAGTGGAGGGCGCATTGATCGTCAGAGGCAATCCCAGTAACCGCTTGCACAATGTGTTGCAGATAGGGACGAATCTCGTCAGGCCCATACAGCGTGACGCTAAAGTCCCACACAACTCGTTCAGTGCTGCCCCCACAAGACAAAGGCAAAAGCCTGCTGGAAGGCATCGATGGAGCAAGTAGCACCATTCAGGAACCGGCTCGAAGTTGACGGGATCGCCAATGCAAGGCGGGGCAAAGCACACATGTGGATGGGCATGTCGAAGAGGCTCAAGCAACCAGTCCAGAGTGTCAGAGAAGAGCCATCCTGGATGAGCTGAAGTGGCATGAAGGCGTTCCCGGAGCGGATCAACAGGGAGTCGAGGGCTTGTCTGGCTCGGGGTGGAATTGGCTGCAGTAACCTGAGGAAGGACTCTCAACATGGCCTGATTGCCAGGGGCTGCTCCCGTATCAGCTTGCAAAGGAGGCTGAACATTGAGTGGAACATCGGTGACCTCAGGATGATCCTCAGCCCTGGTTGCCAAACGAATGAAAAAGTTGAGCCGAAAGCGAAATGCAAAGTTCAACAAAGCTTCATCAGTTGAGTGTCTGTGCCAATCTTCCTGAGATTTTGTCATCGCAGTTGTGATGAGCCGCTGAGATCTCTCTGAAAGGGAAGTCCATTGTGGCATCGCATCTCCCCGTCTGTCACACATATTGCACAAGCTATAGAGCTCCCAAAGGACAATCCAACCACAAAGGTGTTCACAAGGAGGAGTGAGGTCATACTGAAGGTCGGCTCTGTGTGGTGCAATTTCGATGAGTCTGCACGTGATCAAAGCAGCCCTTTCAGCAAGTCGTTGAGGAAGCCCCGAGATTCTCACCTGGACATGGGCACCATCCTTGACAACCAGAATGAGGGCCCAATGTGAATCAACCTGGAGGGCGAGGGCCGTTGTGCCCTGATCAACGAAGAGGGTTTCCCCGTAAATATCATCGTTGAACTCATTGTGGTCAGGGTTCCAACGTTGTAGTCCGACAGCCTGGAGCTGGTCAGGGACCTGGTGTCGCAGAAAGAGCATTCCCTGATAGATTTCGTCTGAGGCTGCCCATCCTCTTGTGTTCATCGCGAAATCAAGGCGTTGGGAAAAGGATGCACCACGTGGTAAATGTGCTCCTGGTCCTCAAGTGGGATGGCCTGCTGCAACGACGTCTCCACTACTGAGTTTCTCGATGGAAATGACATCACCAGTGTAGCATTGAATAGTCGTTCCAACAAGAGGGTGACGTCTGGAGTCATCACGGTTGGCTACCTTGAGCGCCTCCTCAAGGAACGTGATGGCTTTGGTGAAGTCAGCATCCGCAAGGATGAGGTGGAACTCAATGTGGTTGCAGACAATCACAGTCGTAGTCTGAGCTTCCGGTTGGTACGGCAATGTTGGCGAAATTGGCTCCTCAAAGGGCTCGACGGTCTCAGGCCATTTGACTGGGTCATAGTGCAACCATGCGAACGACCTCTTCCTCCAAAAACACTGAATGCTGGAGTCTGGTAGAAGACAAGCTTCAACAGATTCTTCCTGGAGCAATGCTGCAGTTGGCGACATGAAGGTGAGGTCTTCCTCGTTGAAGTCATCAACGTTGAGGATGATCTTGATGGCGGCGCACAAGGTGGCATCAGCAGGGATACTGGTCGACCTGGTTTGGTTTGTCTGAGCCAAGGTGAGTTTGACACTCTGGTACTTGATCGCAGGGTCTGGCAAAGTGAAGAAACGAAAAGCCAGGGAAGCGATGAAGGAGTCGAGGCTCTGGAGCGTGATCCAGTCTTTGTCTGCTGAGACAATTGCATTGAGAGTAGTGAGTCGGTGGCTCCAGGCTTCTTGGGTGAGCTGAATTGGAGATGAAGAGAAATTCCACAGAGTGCCAAGTCCAAGCGAGAGAGCGAGGAGGGCATGAGGCTGGGCAATCGCATTGCCTAAACTGTGGAACGCTTCATTGATGTTGCAGGGCAAGACGATCCGGTCGGTCGTGCCAAAGAGGGAAACGAAGGTCAGGGGGGCACAGAAAGACAATGTCGTCCCCACACAGCTCGAGCGAAGCAAAGATCCCTTTGTTGACCAAATGGTTGAAGTCCAAAAGGTGTTGGGCACTGTAGGAGCTACAAAGGGTCGGAAGGGCTTGGTTGTGCGGGGCAACTCTCTGCAGGAGAACTTCGTGCGAACTTGACGTTTGCCCTTTGATTCGTTTGGCTGGCGGCAGAAGCTGGGGGTCCCCATACCTCTGGATGGCTTCGTCAGAAAGGACAAGTTGAGCCCTGACGTGAGATGGGACCCAATGCCTATTGAGATCAGAATGCCAATGTGTGAGAGGCGGTGCTCTAGGAACGAAGGTGCCCAGGATGGGCGGTCCATGAAAGTCATGGCGACGCCAAATGGCTAACCAGCGAGTCCTGACATTATGAGTCAACATGTGTAATGGCACAATTTGGTCCCACACCTGCTCAAATCCAAGGAGCTGCAGGATCGTCTTGATAATCGAAAAGTGCTTATGCTGCGGGGTGTCGTCTGCGCATTCCAAGAAGAGGAGGATGGGCTGGTACACCTCAAGCAATTGCAAACTTTCGAAAAAGGCGAAACCGGGTTCACTGTCAAGTCCAAACAGCTTCCCTCCTTTGCTCCACGAAACGCACGGGGGCGAAACAGTGGCGATAGCATTGGTGGGAAAACGGCTGCGGTTCAGGACAGACTTATCGGCGACAGGTGTGCAGACTCCAACATGGACAGACGGATCCCAAGTGCAAGTGGCAGGCGTGGCACCTGAATGGAGTGACTGCTCATGTAGCTTGGCCCAAATGGCCATTGTTGTTGCATCCGCGTCGACATGGACTTGGGTTCCAATGTGACAATCAGCTACCTTCTTGCAAAGCCATTCCAAGGCACGGCTCCAGCCTCCATACGAACCAGCGAACAAATGCAAGGCATTAACGGGCAGCGTGGCATCAAAGGAAGCACGTGGCAAAATTAATGCGTTGCTCTGGAAAGTCAACAGGTCGCCTTGGATCTTCTGCTCAAGTGTTCCAGTACACACTATGACATCACCATTGTAGATCTTCAAAGCTCAACGGTGCAAATCCGGGATGATCAAATGAAAGACCTTCGGTGTTTCCTTTGTGATCCAACCTTGCCACGGCTGAAACTCCAAAGCTTCGAGGTCGAACTCGTTCTTCTGCACATTGAGGGCCTTCCCACAGACCATGATCTCCTCCCCTTGCCGGAGCAAGGGAGTACTGGCAGCATGGTCCCGTAGAAACTGCACAACCTGGATTTTCCGGCTGCCAGAGAGGTCTGATGCAGCTGTTTGCAGGGCAAAGTCTATCGCGGCCATGGCACCAAAACACGATGGGACATGAGGACTTTTGGACGGTCAACCAGGCTTTCGCAAGCCTCAGCCGACCCCTGGGGGCTGACTCTCCCTGAGCTGAAGGGGCTTGATCCCAGACAGCTATACTTGAGCCAAAATGGCTTGAGCCAAAATGGCTTGAGCCAAAATGGCTACGGGGTGATTGAATAATCAAGTTGCTTTACGTCATGCAGTTTCTTTCGTTCCAATCTTTGCAGAGGCAATTCCTGGGGGTAGCTTCAGACCGGGTTCTTTCCACAAGTTTTGGTTTTATATGTTTGGTCTTCAGTTTGTCATGCTGTCCCCACATTCTGGGAAATCGGATGTGGTCGGGGCAGGCTTTCTGCGCTACCAAAGGCTATGGCAGTTTCTCATTACCAGTGCGATGTGGTGTGATGCGTCCTTGCAAAGCTATGCATCTTTTCCTGAAGAGTCACTTGCTGCAGTTCTTGTTGATAAGTTTGATCAGTGTTGGGATTTAGTGCGATATGGGTGTTTCCTTTTGAGCAACTTCTTTGCTTTGCTTCTGTGCTCTGTTCGCTCTTTTTTGCGGCTTTGTTTTTTGTTGCTTTGTTGTTTTTTCTTTGCTTTCGCGCCCTTTTGGGCAGGGCGTCTTTAGTTTTGATGTTGTTTCAGACATGATATGGTCTTGCTTTGCTGTGTTTTATGTTGTGCCCTGCCAGGCAGGTTTTTTGGTTCCCTTTTTCTCTTTTGACCCCGGACCCCTGGACGAGGGGTGTGCACTGGCCAAGGGTGCACCGAAGGATGTCCATTTGGTGCTTCACCTTCCTGCGGAAGGTTCTCGCACGGGGTGAAGCACCCTGCGTCATCTTGTATATAAATAGCAGCAAATTAATCATATGACGTCAAAAGCGCTGTTTAAAAAGAAAGAAGCAGCGAGTCGAAGCCACAGGTGTCCTCAAAAACATGAAGCAGTTTCCAGCTGTTTTATATATTATGTTCAATGCTGTCAAGAGTCAATGCAAAGCCAGCTGGTGAACAACAGCCCAGGCCAGGAAGCGGATTGCTCCACTACCTCCAAAGCTTATCTGGTGAGAGCCTGGAACTGGATCTTTGGCATCGGTAGAGAGGAGCCGACAAGGGTCAGTGCAATCCATGCGAAATCCATGAGGTTTCCCGCAGCTTCCGAGACAAGCTTGAGGGTGACAGGTTTGATTGTGCATTTGTCCCTCGCAATTGCTGGTTTTCAACTTTCCATCAGCGCCCATCATGCACTTCTGCACGAGGCGTCGAAAATAACCTCCTTGAGTCCTGCAGCAATAAGATCTGAAAAAGGCACCAAAGCAAGGTTTGACTATAGTCCGTGGGATGGAATCATCATGAATACTCTTGATTAAAAATTGGTAAATTCCCCGATATGAAGAGGTTTTCAGAATCAATGATATCAATGGGGGGATTGTTAATTAGGAGTCTACATTAAATTGTTTGATATTGTTTGATTATGTTCCCTTTGGCACCTCTATTGTCGCCTGAGAGCCCTGATGTTGGGAGAGGCTGGAACTTCACTTCAAAATAATTTGTTTGTCTTTGGACGGATGAAACAGTTTGACCAGAGGATGGTGCACTATCCTGGGAAGTCTAGAAGTCCATGCCCCTCCTGGGGAGTCTAGAAGTCCAGAACGAGATGTTCTTGAACAGTGTTGGCTGCCGAAGTTTATGACGTGCACCAAGGACTTGCTCGAAACAGCTTTGTGGACTCATTTGCCGGAACTCAACCGTCACTATGGCGCCTATATCGTTTTTGACCAGGTCTGATGGGTTGAAAAAGTCTTTGGATTCACGAGGATGGTGGAGGGCCAAGATTTGCCAAAATCAAGCTCTACAACATGTGATTCTTTTTGAGGCGTCATGCGGTGTCTGCGCCGTTCAAGAGCAGAAGCTAGGTCCACTATATTTTGGGTGTCCAATCGTTTCAGAATTGTTTTTGTCCATGCTTGTCCCAACACGTGGATTGTTCGTGTGTGTTGCTTTTGAATCTCAAGAGCCAAAAGCGCTTGGCGCTTTTGGACGGAAGGTGGCGGAGCGTGACCGGGCGGATTCCGCCTGTCTCTCCTTGGTGGCTCTGGTTTGGAACCGCTACGACCTCTTCGTGAAGCCACAGGTGGGAGAACCGACATATGGAGGATTGGGTGTCCATTAATTCGATGAACCTTTTGTTGGGGGGCCTGGCATGGAGGGATGCTGTCAAGTCCTTCTTTTGGATGTGGCAAAATGCAGGAACCGCAACGAACATCAAGGAACTCACATATTCCTGGCAGCTGCTGGCATTTGCCCCGAACCAAGGTGTATATACATAAGTTATATAAACTGTTGAATCATGTGGCTCAGGTTGTGCTTCTTCAGACACTCTTCCAGTGAAATGTCCTCAAAAGCACCCACGGAACCCAAACCATGACAGGAGAAAAGGACCAATGTATCAACTTCAGAATGTAGTCAAGCTTCAAATTCCCTACCGGGGCATTGTAACCGCACCAAGCGTTCCGAGATGTTCGGCAGATGCTTGACCTGTGACCCGACACGCTTTGTCTCGTGTGTGTGTGTGTGTCCTCCTGCTGGAAGGTACACCGGTCAGACATCTGATTCATGTGGTTGGCTTGAACCTGTCAAAATTTCGGACACATTGGAATGACGACTTGGTTTGCTTGTGCTTGTTGGAGCCATGACTTGAGAGGCTTTGAACACAGACCACATGTGACTCCGTTAGGGCTCCATAAACTATAGCCGACAATTGACCTGCACAGATACAGCGCCTGTTCCATCAAGGGCTTCAGTAATTGCCCTGCGCTGCCCACCGGTGGTGTTTTCAAAAAAAACATGGATCCGGCTGAAAACGTCCCGAGATGGTCGAGTTCGGTTTGAGAACACCGTCCGGTCACCGGACATAGCCGGACCATGTTAGGGCGATCGTGGACTTTGAGAGACGTGGTCCTACAAAAATGCGGCCAGAACCCTTCGGTGCACTTCCTTCGAACATGTCTGGGGGTGTCATGGTCCAAAAAAGTGAAACTTGACTGGGGGTTCATGGTCGAAATCAACGAGGATGTCATGAGGCGACACACAAACCAGCCTCCTCGCAGTCGTGGGCCCGTGGGCTCTTCGGAGGTCGATGAGACGACTCGGCTGACCCCGGCGCAGTGGGATCAACTGCAGGCGGGCGATGCCGGTCCGTCTGGGGAAAGCACGGTGAGACCACGGTTGCACCACTCCACATGTGAATCCACCCTGGATGGGAGAGAGAGGTGAAGCACTGGAAACCGGTGGCAAACAGGGGAAAATGCATGAAAGATGGTGCTGAAATGAAGCACTGGAGAGTTTCATAGGCCTGGGACGTCCTGATGTGATCTTAAGGTTGGTGAATTGTGGCCTCTTCCCATCCACGTGCCTCAGGATATTCTTTCTTGGACCAAGCCAAGCCACGAACAGATCCATGCAGCTTTGGTACTGCTGGCCATTCGAGGCAGGTGACGTGGTGCCGTTCACGGTGCCATGGTACCGCACGGTGCCATGGTGCCTCCGAGCCCCAGGGATTCCTGGGAAGCAGGGTTTGCGGACCCTGGAGCTTCCAAAAGAAAACGCAGCCGCGCGGCCCAGCCCAAGCTGTTTGTTTTTTCCACGATGTGTTTTTTTTGCCGTACTTGTCTTTGAAGGATTTGGAATGGAAAGAAGAGAGTCTCGCGAGGATGCCTGCGCTTGCGACAACAGATCCTGCACTTCATAAGAGCTTCATTAGATTTTGCTGCCCATACAGCAGATTCAGAGTAGCTGGCACACCACCGACATTGAAGATAGTACCATCGACACCCAGAACTTCCAGTCTGACTCATATATACCCCACAGTTGTGGTGAGAAGCAACAGAGATTAAGTGACCTGAACTAGGACCCGTCACCTGGGGGTACCTATAGGATAGTCGAACTAGGGTTCTTCAACCTCTGGAAGTTGCCGAATCGACTAGCGGTGCAGGCTTGGGCAAGTCGGTGCACGTGCAGAGCCAGAGCGAGTGTGAGGGGCATCCTGAACAAGCAGTGCGATACCTCGTGGACAACGCCCGCAACGTCAGCTGCTGAGGGAAGGGTGTCACGGTGAGCCTTTGTTTTAAGGTTTCAGAGATGAAAAACCGAGGTTGCATTGGATTGAAGGGGGGGTGGGGGCAATGACTTGGTCCCAGACTAGGGGACGCTGGTTTTGTTCTTTTGAGCATACAAAGATCCATCAGAGGCCGTCAGACGCTGATTTTGCCTAGAAATGCTGAGAGTGTTTTTTTTGCCCCAAATGGACAACGAGCACTACCCAACATGATTGGATTTGGGGCCGCCTCTTTGGGCCAAAATCCTGAAGAAACTCATTCTTGGCAGCATCAGAAGGATGGAAAGAGGAATCCAGAGACCCACCTGGCCCAGTTGGCCGGTTTGAGCTGGAGGTCATCGGGTCTCGTGTCCCCCAGCTTGGTTGTTGGGGTTTTTTCAGGTCTCGCGTCCTGGAAGTTGGACTCGGACAGAGATCAGGATGGAGTCAGGAGGAACACGCCTTACCAGCTCAGCTTGTGGTATGAACAAGATTCAACAAGCTGTGTTCAGCAGCCAGTGACGTCAGAAAGCTTAAAGTTTAAAGGTGCCCAACTGGAGCTCAGGACATGATAGTCAGTCAAGCGGATCTAAGACTAGGCAAGGTGCTGTTAATTTGCTTTACCATGGATGTTTGCAATTCTTTAAGTTGGACTTGGATCTCAACATCAAACCTTCCTCAGAAGGCCATTTCTGTTCATGTTGTCGGGCTTTTGCTTGGTGAAACCGGGTGACTACAGAGTGAATTGATCTTCCAGACTAAGGTGGTACCATCCATCATACCTTTGAGTGACACTGCTTTGCACTGCTTGTGCTCAGTCCTCGAGATACATGCAGCTTGTCGATTTGTTTGGAGGGTAGTTTCATCCCTGGCATGCAATTCACTCAAGGCAAGCGGGTTTGTGGCTTGGTGGTTTGGATGGTTTGGGGCTTGCATTTTTGGCATCTCATGGGCGGTATTTGTTCGATTCTTCTGGGGTTGCACGGTCCGTCGGTGGTGAGCTGCGTGGCGATGTTGTGACCAAAGAGGCGACCAATGCCATGCAGTGGCGTCCACACTTGACGCTTTCCTTGTTGGACTGAGGAGATTTTCAATCTCGCGCAGATGCTGCAGGGAGAGAATGTTCCGGCAAGTGTTGCTCAAGTTCAAGAAAAGATTGCAGAATGTGGCGACCTGAATGCACTAAGTTTAGTATACCAGTTTGATGCTTCTTGTATTTCTGACAGCTAGGAGGGAGCGACGAGCTGGAGGTATATATATCTTCACTTCCCCGTAACATGGAGCTGTTTGGAGCTACAGGAAGTTTTTTGAGCACTTCAGTTGTTACTGATACTGTATATGTTATTCGTATCGCACTGTTTATCGTGCGTTTATTCGCTGATGGAAAGTTCGGTACTGTCCAAGGTTCCTCCTCCGGTAACTCGTGCCGCACCAAGGACCCGAAGTCTTCAATTGCTACATCCTCTTCCTTCTTGGCTTTATGAGTGGTATTGCCGGAGGTCGTGGCTCGAAGTTCCTCACTGCCAGGCGCAGTTCCTTCCTGCGGAACGTCCGGCGCAGTGTCGGAGGGAGACCTGGGCACCATGGGGGGCACCTGGCAAAAAGCACTGAAAGCTGAATGAGACCCTCCGAGAAACTGACTGTTGTGAACCCTTTTGTTGGCGTTGGGGTGATGACCTTTTTCCCGAAACTGGGGGAGAGAAGATGGTTTTCCACGTTCCTGGACAGCAAATCCAAGACACTATAGACTGGGCATGACTAAGCTGTTCCGGTGCCAGACAGGCTAAGCTGCAGGCTCTGGCTGCAAAATGATCAAGACAAGTTGAGGCCGTGCAGAAGGGAATCCAAGCACTGACATAACTATGTTACTATATATGTGGTGACACCCTCGCATCAATGGCTAGCAGCAATGGAGTAAGGATGGATTCCAGAAATGTTGACTGGAACCTTTTGACTGTGTTGATTACAATTGCATTTTCTGAGGCATGGTTGCTATAGACACGTGAATCTTCCATCATTTCAGGCCTATTCCAAAAAAAGGACATTGTAGATCTGGGACGCTTCCTGCACAGACACACTGAGAAGCAGACATCTATCATCCAAGCAAGAGTCCAAGGCTCGTTGGTCCGTGGACCACTGGGGCATCCGATTGAAGCAAGTTCATGTAGCGACCACTTTTGACCTATCCGGACTGTATGATATGCCTTGAGGATCCAAAATGATCCGACCGAACGGGAAAGCAAAGAATGGTCCCTTGGATGACGATTTTCCTCTACTAAAAGCTGTGAGTGAGTGGGAGTGTTTACCCTCCCCAACATCACTGAATCACAATGCAGATCTCCCGATCGGACAGAGAATGAGATAGAAGCCGCACCAAAACGTGTGATCCGAACCTGGGCAGCAAGGACAGCGACAGCTCCCGACCGGGGCCCGACCGCAGGACAGCTCCCAGCTTCATTGCCAGCCTCCAGGTCTTCAGTCAACTTACCAAATTGACTCCACGGAGCGTCGCTTGGTTCGAAACCCCCAGCGCTCGTCGGTTCGAGGGTCCTTCAACGCCCGTGGACGGCCCACAGCACATCCTTCCGGCGCTTTGCGAGGTCGAAACAGTTGTGGGTGGCATCCCAGGGGCCTGGATGGACAGATTGTTGGGATGAAGCCGAGGTGCCCAATATCAACTGAACTAATAACCCCTACAACCCAGCAGAAAAACTAGGTAGGTCCATTTTCACGGTCCATCTTAGTTTGCAGGGGTACTCATGAGTCAGAAAGTCACATGATTGGGAGCGAGGACGTTAGCAATGTTCCCCTTCGGTTGCCCCGTCGATGGCCGACAGCTTCAAGTGATGCCCTTATTTGAGAAGACATCCCTTTTTTTTGAGCCCCGACAGGCGCCTTACAAGGTAGTTTAAAATAATTGAACTATGTGACAGGAGGCAGTTGGACCCCTAGCCCCTAGTGATGAACACAGATGACTCGGATGTTTCAGTTGCTGAGGTCTACTGGGGCTACCTGCGTGCGCGGGCGGGCAGCTTCCAATCAAGCTTCACCACAGCAGAGGAGGGCTTTCGGCCATGTCATGTCATTTGGAAGCCTTTGCGTTGGATTAGAGTGAGCCCTCTAAGGGGTGACCCTGGGGGTCTGCCGTCAAACTGCCCCCTGTCTGACTCTTTGCATCAATTCAGCTCCTGATCGCATCCAAATAATTAATCACCCCTGGAGTACCCAACTGGTTGGCCACATCAGCCAAAATATCGATCGATTTCCCAGTCTGATCACGCAGGACTTGGCTTTGGTGAGACTCGCGTGCCTGAGCCGCGTGCAGGGTGCGCAAAGCTTCCTTCACCTGCCGCTGGGCATCACCCTTTGAGTAGAACGCCGCACCACTCCAAGCTGAGCGATGGCTTTTCCATTTCCATGTTAGAAGAAGCAGGTCAAAGATGTGGTTGGATCAGGTGGATCCCTGATCGGGTCCGGAAAGGAATCTACGAAAAGTCGTGCATTTCAAGATCTCTATATGAACCTCATGACTTTGGGCATGGTGCAGCTTTCTTGGGTCAAGCTTGTATGGAGCATAGGCCCTTGACACTAGGACTGGCAGGGGGATCACTCTCTTCGTTCGCCTGGCGCTTCTTTTCGGACCTCGTGGACTCGCCTTTTCAACCGGCTGTCCCTTCACCTGTGGATTGTATTTGCCCCACCGTTGATTACCTGGATTGGGATATTGATTTCAAATCTGTTTCCATTGGAATTTTGGTGGGTATCGCACTCGGGCCCCTTCCCCCTTCTCGAGGCTTTGCTGGTAGTCAGACATTGGTGGTCAAACCTGGTCAGGCGGCAGCTCGCTGCCGTTACGCGGTCGGTTCGACCGCTTTATAGAGATATCTAGGGCTTGCATGTCCAGCCAGAGCACTCAAGATCGTACTATTCTTGAGTTGATTTCCAGGATTGAGCGCCTTGAGCTTCGGGTTTCAGGACTCGAATCTTTTCAGTTTGAAGTTGTGCAGGCTGAGGTTGAGGAGCAGTGGGAACCAGTGCCAATTCAGTCCGGGCCGACCGCGTCCGGCGATTTGTCCACAGGCCCCATTAGCGAGACTGTTGTGCAAGGTGAAGCGCTTCCGTCTGAGGTTGATGCCGAGAGGTTGGCCATTTTGAACTCCATCGGTCGTTGGGTTGCCCGTGCTTTGCAGAACAACATCACCGGCTCGTCAGGACGTGATCAGTTGCCTGAGCCAAGTCAGCATTATTTGGTTTTCAGGGGGGTGAACGGAGTTGTTTATAACCCAGTGAAGGTTTTTGCAACTTTCCCTGAAGCCTGTCGATTGGTCAAATCGCGTGGGGGTGCATTCGGTCGTTCGGTGTTCATTGGAGCGCCAAGCAAGTCGGACGGCAAGACCGTTTGCTCCTCGGCCGGCGTTGCCTGGCCGAGCGATTAGATTAGATGGAGGATTTTGTTGAGAACCCCGGCATTCCAGCTGAGGGCCCTGAGGCAGGTGATCTGCCCTTTCGACCTGAGAGTGTGTTTCTTTTGCAGCCTGACGGCACGGCCGATCCTTTCTACCAGATCGGTTTGATTCGTTTGCTTGCACCCGGTGGGGCCGAAGAGCCCGACCCAGTTCCAGTCATTCTAATTACTCATGTGCAAGGAAAGATTTTAGCTGCTGTACCTTTCAGTTTTTGGCACCGTTCCGTAGCCCGAAGAAAGCTACCGCCTCAATCCTTTTCGAAAGCTGCTTCTGTTTCCGTCGGTTCAGTGTTAGATGTTGATCGAGAAGTTCCGATAGAAGGCACCTACATCAAGATTTGGATAGGTTTCCTGTCGGAAGAACTGATCCAATGTCTCGATTTCGTGAGTGTTCAGTCGGCCGAGCTAGAGAACGCCTTCCTCACCGAACAGGAGGTAGGCGAGCATGTTCCTTTGGCCGAAGCTCTTCAGACAGTAGCAGACGAGAAATTCAGTTTCCTGTCGGCCGAATCCGGAGGGCCCGATCTTGGGAAGAGCAGTCAGGAGAAGCGGATTGCCCGTGTCAAAGAGGCCCTAGTCGAGATGAAGGCTCTCCTACATCAGTTTGCCCAAACCAAGGCTCGACCGGAGAGCCCGGCTCCTGCAGCAAAGGTCCGGGTGACGTTCAAGCCGCCTACTCAGATTCCGCCAGAGAATCCAATAGCTGGGCTGGACCCTCATGTGGTGCAATCAGCCCTCCGGGCAGGAGTCTCTCAGGTGCAGTTGGAGGAGCTGGGACGTATGCTGACCGGAAAGAAGCCAGATCTAGCGGATGTTGCTCGCCCCTCTGCTTTGCGGAAGCCGGCTCGCTTGGATGTGTTGGGAGAAAGCGACGAAGAAGGCGAGGCCCCCACCGAGCCCGGGGGGGAGTTGAAGCCGAGCGCCGAGGAGCTCGAAAACCCCATGCAATCATCCTTGCTAAAGCTCACCAGCATTCTGGAGCACCTCACAAGCCCTACAGAGAAGCGGCGCAGTCTCCAAGACACTTTAGACGATTCAGTGGGCCACGGGGAAGTATCCTCTACTTCTTCCAGCAGCGGACACGGCAGACGACGTGCCGCTGTCCTTCAGACTTTGAGGAAATAATGAGAGATTGCCCAGAAGAGCTCTGTGGTGTTCTGGAGAAAAACACGCTGCACGATTGTGGTGCCCCGGAACTTGGTCCGGGTCTAGGTATCATGACAGCCACGTTCAGAGGATGGGCGGAGCATCGATCGAGAGTGCCGAACATTCAAGGCACGGTCCGCACCCTTTGGGCTATTTGTGGAGCTCTCGATGCTCTTCGACAGAATCGCATTGCGGAGGCAAAGGCTCGGCTGAGTCTTCTGGTTGCTGCCATCGATCAAGTCTCTTACGACAAAGGGTCGTGGTTGCTGGGTGCGGAGGTCTTGCTCGAGGATGGACCCCCCCTTTGGAAGTTTCAGCAAACATCAAGCCCCGGAGATCTTCGAGGTTCATCACTCCCGACTTCTGCCAGCACAATGGGCAGAGGCCATGATGTTTCGAATCAGGGAGCTGGACGATTTTGCAGAGAAACGGGCGAAGTTGGGAAAGCGCCAGATTCAGAACGATGCTCCAACGGGCGCTCCGCCCGCCAAACCAGACAAGCCGAAGCCGAAAGCGAAAAACAAGGGCAAAGAAAAGGGAGAGACGCAGGAGGAGAGCAATCATCCTCCTGCGGGCAGCAGCAATTGAATGATCCAGAAAGCTCCGAGCCGGCCGAGTCCCCGGCTCGCTGTTTTGTGCATGGTTGCCGAGACGATGCTGCTCGGCATGTGCCAGGCTCAAAGGCGACGACCGTTTGCCCGAGGACCTGGTTCAATTCATCCTTTCGGTTTTTGCGAAAGTTGGGAGGCAGCTTTTCAAAGTTTTTGCGTTCTTTCCATCGAAGACCAGCTACTTCTTCTCAGTTGAAGAGTACCGCCAAATTGTGGCCCATGCCGCTCCCTTTTCCGGGAGCTTTACTGGAGACTGGAGATGATTGCGAGACGAGAGCGTTGCAGAGGGGCTTGAACCTTTGTGTTGCTGCTCTGGACTGGGTCTATTTAAACAGGCCTGTGACTTGTCCTCTTGACATCGTGATCCCTTCCTCTTTGAACCGTCTGCAGTGGCGTGTGGTCCGATGCATGGAATCTGCTTGTTTGGCGTGGATCCGTTGTGCTCCGGTCGACTCAACAGCAATGGGAAGATCGGCTGCAAAAGTGGAAGACATCGAGAAGGCGCTGGAGAAACTCAGTGTTTTTGAAGGACAGATCTTTTCGGTGTTTGAACAGAGTTTAGCTGACAATTCTGGTTTGCGGGACTTTACCTGGGGAGGAGCTGCAGGTTGCTCGGCCCATCGAGGCCTCAAGAATAGATTTCCGTGGGGAGCCTTCGTTCGATCCAACCCCTTTTTTGGATGAGAGAGGAGAGAAGATTTTCAACCGACCAATCCAATCAGCTTTAACCCCTGAGCAGAGCTTTGAGGCCCCCCCTCCAGTGAAGATCTTTGCCTCTGAGTCCGAGAAGTGGGCTCTGCTGAAAAAAGCTGGACCAAACAGGGAGGTTGGGAGTCATCAGAGCTAAGGAAGCTTACTCGGGCTATCAGGCTGGCTTGTTCGCAGTGACTAAGGATTCAGATAAGGACAGGTTGATCTTCGACAGCAGACCTTTCAATACACTGGAGACACCACCTAACCGGTGGATCAACTCTATGGGAGCGTCTTCGAACCTTCTGGAGATCCAGCGCTGGCTTCAGATGAGCGAATGCTGCTGTCGGGCACCGACCTGCGAGAATTCTACTACAGTTTTTCTGCGACCCCAGAGCGTGTTGTGAGAAATTCTTTGATTGGCACGTTTTTCGCTTCTGACATTCGAGCTTTCCGGTGCTATGACAGGAAGTTGGAGGGCGCCGGACCTCTTTTGTTTGGCCTGAAGACGTTAGCGATGGGCGACACCTGCGCTGTTGAACTCGCGCAGACAGCCCACCTCGGCATTTTGGTGCAATCCGGCCTGGTGAACAAGGAGGAGCTTGTTGGCATGACTTTGCCTCCGCCCAGGTCGCCCAGCATGTTAGGGGTCGTCATCGATGACCTCGTGCTCTTTGAAATAGTTGCAGCAGGTCTTTCGGCAGAAGATCCCTCCATGCAAAGCGGTCATAAGCTGGATGCTGCTCTGGCTAAATACACCGCACTGGGATTGATTCCTCACCCTGGGAAGACTTTCCGATTGGAGGACGAGGCCGAGTTTTGGGGGGCGCACGTGGATGGCGTCTCAGGAGTGGTTCGAGCGAACCTGAAGCGCGTGGTCCCTCTGCTGTTTGCCACCACTGGAGTGATTAAGTTGGGCGTGTGCACCATTTCACTGCTGAATGTACTCATTGGGTCGTGGACCTCAGTTTTCTTGTACAAGAGGCGGCTGCTGTCCTTGCTCAATGTTTGCTATGCGGCTTTACAGAGTTCAGAGAATTCCAGAACTGTTCTTCGGTTGTCAGACGAGTTGTTGTCCGAGCTCATCCTCATTGTAGCTTTGGCGCCGCTTGCTGTCACTTTCTTGAAAGCTGCGAACGCAAGCGACGTATATGCTTCTGATGCCTCATCGTGGGGCCTTGCCGTCTGCAAAGCTCGGCTTCCTTCCTGGATTGTGGGAGAGGTGCATCGACACAAACTCAGAAAGAATACCTGGGTGAAGTTACTTTCTCCTGCAAGAGCCCTCGATAGAGTCCATGGCGAGCTTCAGACTGCGGACGAGCTTCCTGGAGGTGACACTTTCCATGCTCATCCTCTTCATCAGTTGTTGGTGACAGGTTTACAATTCGAAGAGGTTCTTCGTGAGAAGAGTCAGGATGGCCTGCATATTAACATTGGAGAGCTGCAAGGCATGGTTCGTGCCGAAGCCGAGTCAGTGTTCGCTGGGTTTCCAAATCGAACTATGTACCTCCAGTTCGGGGCTGAACCAAGTCCTTCAGCAAAGCTTACCTATTCACCTTGGATGTGGGTTGATTTCGGATGCCGGGTACGTTCCCACCGATGTCAATGTGGCAGATGATCCGACCCGAGGCAAGTCGGTTCGCCGTCCGTCTCGGGATTTGCCAGAATGGCTAAAAGAGCATTCCTCTCTCAGTACCCCTGAAAGATGTTGTCGGCTAGACGAGTTCCTTGTTTCTTTTTGTGCAGACCCGTTTGAACTTTCAGGTTTGCCGGATTTTGATGAGCTTCGTAGCGAGGATTCCCTACCTCTAGCCTTCAAGAGGTAGCCAAGAATTTTGTTTCCCATCGACCTCGCTCCATGAGTTTTCGTGGCCCGATGAAGTTGCTAATCTGCTGAGCCAGTTCGATGCAAGTCAGTTCATTTTTCCTCAAGCCTGGAAGGTTCCTTTAGATTGGAGGCCGGTAGACAGCCTTCCTCCTACGAAAGGTTATTTAGACTTGTATTCTGGGAAGAAAGGTGTTGCCAGGCGTATTGTAGAGGAGGGCTCTGTCTGGGCCCTCACCTTCGAGCTCGAAGATGGGGACAACCAAGACTTGTCCGCTCAGTCGCTTCGAACGATGATCAGGCGCCTGATTGAGCTTGAAGTTTTCTTTGCAATGGGTGCGGCCATTTTCTGTAGGTCCTTTTCGAACCTATCCGAAGCAGGGCCAGCCCGAGGGGCCTCCATGATCTGACTGCCAGAATGTTCAAGGCGGTCTCAGAAGGGAATGATCACGCCGATTGGCTAGCAGACTTGATTTCGGTTGCGTGTGAACATGATTTACTTTACTGGGTTGAAAATCCAGATGGCTCCTTCCTTTGGCTGCTTGATGCTTGGATTGAGCTGGGATCCCAAAACCCAGAGAATCTTTTTCGTTTGGACTATTGCAGGTGCAACTGCCCTTGGAGGAAGAGGACTCGTTTTCTGACGAATTGTCATCTTCGAGGGCAAAGCCTGTTTTGTCTGCGGGATCATGAACATCGGAAGTTGGTAGGCTGGTCTCGAATCCATAAAGCTTGTTGGACACGAGTTGCTCAGACTTACCCAAATATTCTTTGCAAGTGGATCTCCTTAGCTCTTCTCATTGATGCTGGGTTGCGACCTGATCGAAAGCACATCAACCTGGCGTCGATTTGTGGAACGATTGGGCGAATTGGAGAGGTATCAAAGCCTGGTCCGAGGTATCCCAGGCAGTCGAGCAGATCCGTTCATTTGCTTGACAATGCCACACTTGTAGAGGCCGGGACTGAACTGATCGGTTCTCGAGTTTGGGAAAGATTTCGAGCGTGGTGCCTTAGATCTCTTCAAGTTAGCACTTTCGAACAACTGATCGTTTGCCCTCAGACGTTGGTTGAGCTCTTAGAAGCCTTCGGCCGGGATTTGTTTGCCGAAGGGGCTTCGCTTTACCTGTACAGGCATTTGTTGACGGCAGTGCAACGATGGCAACCAGACTTCCGGCCTTTCATGAGCAGAGCATGGCAGTTGGTTGTTCGATGGGAAAGCCTGGAACCCGTTAGACACCGCACCCCCCTGCCACTAGTCCTGTTCCGAGCCATGGTATCCATTGCTTCTCTCTGGGGCTGGCGGCGCTTTCTGGGTATTATGCTGCTTTCGTATTTTGGAATCTGCAGGCCGGGCGAGCCTCTTGGAGCCACGAGGTTCGACCTTCTACTACCCAGAGACCTTGTATACGAACAGCAACATGCTAAGATCACTTCTGCATCAGTTGTGGCCGCATTGGATAGCGTTTTCAGTGGGCTGCAAGCTGGCGAACCTCTGTATGCCGGGTCACCATCATCCTTTCGGCGACGTTGGGACGCCATTCTGGCTGCTTTGGGGGTTCCAAAGACCCTGGGCCTGACTCCGGCTTCCATGCGCAGTGGTGGCGCTATCACTGCGTATCGAGCTGATGAAGACATTGCCAAGATATTATGGAGAATGAGGTTGAAATCATTGCAAACTTTTTCACACTACCTTCAAGAAGTAGGAGCACTTTCAGTTTTCGGCGAGTTGCCTTTTGACAGTCGACTGCGCATTGAGCGAGCAGCGGAGCTCTACCCCGTTTTGCTCCCTGGTCCTAGTTTTCCTGGCGGCGCCTAGCTCCAGCTGAGTACTCGACTCAGCCTTCGGCCGCGTCCGGTCCTTTCTGGAAAGTGGTGCGAGGGCATTTGATTGGCTGACTGTGGCATGTTCTCTTGAGCATTTGCACTTGGGCGTCATCCAGCTCTTCATGTCCTTACTTTGTGGCCACCGTTTCATTTTGACTTGAGACAGTTCTGACAAGGCTGGCAGATGGAAAACAGTGCGAGGACCAGTGCACTCAGTCATATATATATATATTTATATTCGCCTAGAATGGTCCATTTGCTTAGGTGTAGGCCCGGTCATAGATGGACCGGTTCTTCTTTTCGCTTGCTCGTTTGAATGTCATGTTCAAACACTCTCCCAATGCACTCCGGCCCAGCTGCACAACCGACACGATGAGCTTCACAACCGACATGATGTCCCTCCCACCCGGCAGCTAAACCGGGCAACCAAAACCTGCCACAAATGCTTCGTCAAGCCTTTCTCCACCGAATCAATCGACGGATGTCCCCCCCCACCGTGACGCCCCCACGTGACCTGTGACCTCCTTCTTCGCTTGCTTCCAGCTTGCTTCCAGCTGGCTTCCACCGGATTAAGCAAAATGCTTTCACCTGAGGCAAACTGCTTGGTCGGGCTTGAGCAACAAGCAGAGGGGTGCCTTGGTGAGTCATCTTCTAGCTGATGGCATCACCCGACAGGCGATGATCTTCATTTTCCTCCCAGCGACTTGGATCAACCAGGCGGTCCTTTGAATCGGTTTGGATCGGTTCGCCTTTCTTTTTGAGCGGAAGATGGGAGTGGGAGGTGTTTGGGTCAGGCAACTTCATCCGGAACGAAGTCTTGAGGAGATGGGAGGGGCAAGCCGGTTGAGGGTCATCCTCTTTTGCCCCTCTTTGGCTGTCTATCCTTTGGTGCAGGAACCAAGGAGTCCATTCTTGCTTTGACTATGTTTTAACTTTCTTTCTTCAGGCCAGTAGGAAAGGCCACGAAAGCTAAGGATTGCATCCAGAAGTCCATGGCAAATCCCACCGTTGGCCTGACAGTCCTTTTGGAGGCCCGCTGTGTTGAGCTGTGCGGCTGCTGCGCGCCGAAGAAAGGCGTCGTCGCTGTATTCTGTCATATGAGTCATTATATATATATATATATATCTGTGTGTGGGTGTGCGTCACGATTTGAAATCACTTGAGCGCGCGCACCGCACACACACACACACACACCACGACAGTCATGATTTATGGACGAATTCGATTGACCCAGAAAGACGTTTAAAACCGCGCTTTTGGACATCAGTTCTGTGAGCGCGTTCGGTTCCTTTCCGTTCGGTTTGGTCCGGCACTGCAAGAGGTACTAGTGGATTTGCTGGCTCATTTGCAGGTGATCCTGAAAGAGGCCGGTGATGTGTGAGTCAGGGAACGGATATGGAAGCCGCATATTTTGGGGTGAGGAATCCACTGGTGACTGGATGTGTATTGGACCCTCCAACCTCTGGGATTTAGTTAATGTGTTCTTCTTCCCACTTTAGCCTGGTTTTGGGGTCGAAGGGTTTCTCCCAAAAAAACCCACACCCTGCCAACACCTGGCCGGATCGGCGGGGTCGGCCAACCTGCCGTCCCACCACCCGAGGGCGGCGGGGGCTTCCAAGGTTTTGGCTCACCGAAAAGTGGGGGAGAGAAGGGGGAGAGAGAGTGAGCGAGAGCGAGAGAGGCAGAGTCTTTTTGGGCCACACCTTGGCTCACCGAGCTTGGTTTTGTCTCTAAAGGTGCCGAACATGCAGATTTGGATTGATCTCTCAGATCTGGCGGAATTTGCGGCTGCAGTGCAGAAGCTCGACCGCACAAGTGCCACAAATGCAGACGGGGTGGGGTGGTATAGCACAAGTCAAGGGTGCGGTAGGACCCAAGTGTTTGACAGTGGTGTTAATTCAACTTTCTCGCGAGCACTTTCATGAGTGGAGAATATCAAGCAAATTCAAGCAATCTTTTCATGCAAGAGCCTTTCAGGCTAAACATCCCAATGATTTTTCTGGAAGTTATGTTTTCCAGGACACGGCTTTGAAGTTGCCGAAGCCCTGCTTCCCAGGAACAACTTCGTCTTCCAGACTTGCATCAGTCGTTGCAAGGTGGACGTACCGCAACCGATCGGAAAGAGGGCACAGATCCAGCTTCAGATGACCTCCGCCAATTGGCTTCGCATTCAAGAGGTGCCCCCGAGAAAGCTTCCGGCCGGTGACGAGACGCCTCGACCCGTGGTGACCGCGTGGGGGGCGGCCTCCTTCCGAGCGGACGGTGCTCCCAAGTGGGACCTCCCCAAGACGTGGTTGCGCATGGAGAGCGGAATCGAAGAGTTCACCTTCCCGGCCAACTGGGACGGTTTTCCGAAATCGGGGGCAGATCGTAGAGCGCCCTCTCGGTGTTCATTGGGTCTTTGTTTAGAGAGCACACCAACCTCGTGGGGGGGACCCGAACAGATGTAAGGGGATCTGTCCAGATGGATGGACCAACCAAACAGCCGTGACGTCCCACCCCAAAAAAAGATCCAGTGACGTGTTTCGTGGTCCGTTCTGGAGCGCAACATCCGTTTTGGGCAAAGTCATGTTTCCTTGCTCCTTACAACAAACACCCGTCTTCCAAATACATACCAGATGTTGACACCCCAATTCCCTGCCCGACATCGACCAAGGGAAGGGAGTGCATGTTAACAGAACATCAGATCCTTAGCGGCGACTTGCACAAAGCACCGGCCAGGTTGAGACGGATTTGATGAGTGTGTCACATCGAGTGTCGGAGCTACTGAAGAGGCAACAGTGGCTGGAAGCATATCTTACCAATGCAGAAGCCTGGGGTGTCTAAAGAGAACCAGGCAAGACTGATGAGAAGGGATGCGAAACTTTTAACCAGCGCAATGAGGTGAGACGGCGAGACCCGCCGTTGTTCGTTGATCTCAGTGCGCAATCGGCGTCACTGAGATCCATTTGGCACAAGACATGGAGGTGAAGAAAAAGTGAGACAGCCCCACCGAATTTAATGAAACAAGCCCGAGTCGACAATTGGCATCATGGGTTCCTTCCTTCCATTTTCTCTCACTCCACTTATGCTATGAGTTGAAAGACAGAAAGCTTCCCAAGGTGAAGGCATTCTCAGACCTCGACTTGTTAGCCTCCATGTCAAGTCTATCATTTTCGCCTGGGTCAAGCGGGTGCTTTGGCCTTTTGTCTTCAAGCTCCAATGACCCAAGAAGCAATTTCACTTCTGCTGAAGCAGGCCTGGATTGCTAAGGAGCTCTAACATTGCTAAGGAGCTCAATGAAGCTCCGGCTTCTTTCAGAAAAACACGCAGCCTTTGGGGTCTTGGAGCATGAAGATAGACAGTTTGCATTGGTGTCTTGGAAACCGAGACATCAAGACGTCAACCTCGTGGAACTCCCATGGGAAGGTAAAAACCGCCTCATGGGACCCGATCAACGGCCACGGCCGAGAGAGGCTGCAGACTGACGGAGAATGCGCGATGAGACGAGGGTTGGGGTGTCGAAAGGGTCCGGTGCTGAGGTTGGGAATGCGAAGAGAGCCCAAGCCAATGATGTTGTTTTGCTTCAGCGGATCCGGCGGATCCGGCAGCCAAAAGCCCAAGCAAGGCAGTAAGTGGTTGACAAAGGCCCTCAGTGTTCAGGAGCCCAAACTGAGCGCAGACTGGCCATGCCGCTGGAGTCAAGGGCAGACAGCAAGATGTCAACCAATCAAAGGCTGTTGACCATTGAACCGCTCCAGCCGGTACGTCGGGGTTGTTCGTGGAGCAGACAAGCATCAAACGAGCAAAGAATGTTTCTAAAATGAAGAGCTTTGCCAGCTGGATTCACTGGCCATTCTTGAGATCACTCGAAGGCCAGGTCCATTGCAAAAGATTCTACTGGCTCAGGAGGAGGAAGGAAGAAAGCAACCTTGCGTTTGTACATGCTTTTGTGGAGCATGCTACCACGGGCACTGCGTTAACTCTGGATTTGCTCTCACCACATCATGCTTGTTGAAGAAGGAGCATTTGACATGATACAATGGAAACCGCCACTTTCCAGGTCGAGGTCCAAAAGTCCAAGGTGTCCACCGTCTGGGCAGGTAGGGGACAGCGCCAGAATGAAGCTCGCTCTCGGCCGTGCATGGCATGCGCGCTGGTGTGGGCCTGATTGTTGGTTGGGAGCTGAGTGTGAGACCTTGGAGATGAACTTTGCAACAAGGACAAGACCGTCTGGGGGGGGCCAGACGATCAGAATCCACAGACTCCAGAGATGACAAAAACGAGATGCTTCGGGTGGCCCTCCAAAAAACAGAAGCGTCCAATCCATAATATATGGACTCTTCTATGTTTGGGATCACGAAAAACATCAACCAATCCCAACCAGTCCAAAAGTCTTCCAAAAACCTGGCCCCATCCGAAGACGCTCAGCCCCTCTCCTGAAGTCGAAGGCGGACTGCTGACGGCACGCGCCGGGCACCCTTTGCTACCTGTCAGCACTTGCCCAGGACGATCCCAACGGGAACCATGTGTTTCTCTTTGGGAATGGCACAGTGCGAAGCGAAAGCTGAGAAAACAGAACAATCACGTCGATCATCGATCACATGTTGGAAAAGCTGTAGGTGCCCCAAAATTTAGATTGGAAAAGCTAGATTTTGAACAGATTCTGAAGGCTTGATGCCCAGAGGAGCCTAGAGAAGAAAAAAAGCCCTCGGCATGGACCTTTGGACGAGCTGGTCCTTTAAGTGTTGTTTCTTCAGTCCAGCTGCATTGACTCATGGAGTCCCGAAGCAAAGGTTAAAGAACCCTGGTTCAACTATCCCATAAAAGGGGCCCGGACCGGTGGACCGGGTCCTATTTACGATCACTTCACTTCTCTTGGTTCCTTCTCTTGGTTGCACGTCGCACCACATCCTCCCTCTCGCACAACCGCCACTCCGGGAGGGCGACCGCAGCTCCTTCGGCTGCCTCGGCGACCGGCGGCCAAGGCGAGAAGTCATCTTCCAAGATGCCAAGGAGCGGGTGAAGGAGCTCGCGGTCCAAGTCTCTGGAACTGAGGTCCCTCGGAGTGATGAAGAAGAAGAAGGAGAAACAGAGAGAGAGAGAGAGAGCGCGCTTGGTTTTGATGCGACTTGGATGGGATTCTTGGACCTGAGGGGATTTCTTGGAGGATCTTTTTTTTGGGATTTTAGAGTGCCGATCACAGGGAAAAGGGCATGTTTACTTGCAGGTAGCATTTCCTGGAGTGTTGTGCCAAAGGGCGCACACAACCAGAAGTCGTTAACATCCAAATAGGCCGCAGGGCACAACAAGACTTTTGCACATGTTCATCCAAAACGCTGCCATGAGCTGGCACGCCCAACAAAGCCAGAGATGTTGTCGACTTTTGTGCTGCATGACTCGCAGGAATGTGAATTGAGTGGTCACGACTTTGCTTTGGGTTCTCATTTGCCTTCTGACTTGTCCAAGGATGTTAAGGATCCTCTCCTTCTAAGACACACATCCCGATGACTGCTTTTGGGGCTTTCAAGAAAACTGTCTCAGTCAGATGCAACATACCAAGGCCAAGTTCACAACCCTAGAGCACTTGGACTGTGAGGGTCCAGGCTTCAATGAACTCTGGAAAGTCCTGCGCTACTTGGTCATGAAAACAGTCATGAGATGCAGCTGTGGCTTGTAGAGGGGCGGCCCACTCTCTTGCTCCAACCCACGGCAGTACGGAAGCAGTTTCTGAATGAACATACCAAGAGAGGTAGCCAGTGACCGTAAATAGGAGCCGTCACCTGGGTACCCTGGCCTGGGATAGGCGAACTACGGGTCCACCTCTGTTGCTATGGTTCAAACTCAGTGTGTGATGTGACCGTCTCGGTCTCGTGAGGCGCGTTGAGATGTTTGGAACTTCATGTTGACACAACCAGAATGAAGAGGGCGGTTTCACGTGTGTTTCAAAGGAAAAGACCGTTGGGGCATGGCAAAGATACATGGCTCTTGACTTCTAACAATTGAAGGTTGGATTCAAGGAAACCACTGAAACTATAGCCACAGGCCCTTTGAGACAAGTGCTCAATGAGTTCAAGTTTGTGGTACGATAGCTCCACCAGAAAGCCATATATCGGTTGGTTGCATACATGAATCAAAGGTCATCGTGAAGTGGCAGATTAGCCCCACAGAATTGCTATCAAACCTCATGACATGTTTACAACCCTTGACCAACACCTGAAAGTTTATGAGAAAGATCCTTCAGCAGAGTGTTGGACCGTACTGCTGCTAGGCCCAGATCCATTTCCTCTTCATTCCCCACACATATGGGGCCTGAAATTCAACAGATTCCAACGCTCCCAGCCGCAACCAACGAGAATTCTGCAGCCCCACCCCTCCCCTCCACGGAGCTGATAAGATCGTATGCTGGCTGCTGTGCCCTCGGCCTGGCATTTCCACTGGCCAGAGTAGCAAGGTGAAATGTGGTCCTTTGGGCGTCGAGAATACCAGGGCGCACTGATTAGTGCCACGAATATCGATCCTGTGAAGAATAGCCGCGCGTTCATTTTTGATCTTAACATAAGTGCCTGTAATTAAGAATGGGCACGGTGCTGATAAGAAAAGGAGATGTAGTGACGGACCCAAGAACACAGGATGAATCTCAGTGGATCGTATGCTGGCTGCACTGTGCCTGGCATTTCCACTGGATATGTAGTCCTTGGGGTGTCGAGAATACCAGGGCGCACTGATCAGTGCCAGGAATATCGATCCTCAGAATGTTGGGTCTGTCTGGAAAGCAACCACCTCCCTGTTTTCCAAAGGCCTGAACCAAAATGAGGGGACCGCAGCACCAGCACCGGCACCAGCACCTTCGGCACCAAGGTGATTTAGCCAGGCACTGGGATAGGGTGGAAGGTGTGGGGCAAAAGCTGCATCCTTTGGGGGTGTCCCAGAACAGTACTGCACCTGGTGGACAATTATCACTATGTTTGAACAAGGCCTTTGCCAACCATCATCCAATGATACCCAACATTATGTCCTTTTCGCACATGCATCCATAGCCAAAGTTTGACTCTGAGGATTGTGGAGGGATTGGTGACCAGACCCAAGTGCAGGCATTCATCACTGATGAGTCTCTCTTAGGCAAAAATGACCAACAGATCCACCATACATTATATATGTATACTGTATATATTTATTAGAATTTGACTCTGAATTTGACTCTGCAGAACTCTTCAACCAACCCACCCACCCACCCACAGCCTTAGTAAAACCCGATGGATATGTTTTGTTTCCAGATCAGTGGATGGAGGAAAATGTTTGAGAGGGTGGAAGGCCTTGGAGTGAGAGGCTTTAGAATGTGGAGAAAGCCCAGGGAGAAGGGCAAAAAGACCGTGTGACCCAGAAGCACTTGCCGAGAACTTTGGCCTGTTGAACGATGAGAAGCGACACCCTCCCACCTACCTACCTTTACCTCCAACCTGTTTTGGATGAGATGGAAACTAGCGTGCCAGAGACCAAGAACACCTGACAAGAACAATGAAACACCGACATGAAGCCATCATGTCATCATTACACTCATGAGGGCTCTTATTTTGCGGGTCACTAGACCTCTCTTGGAGGGCAAAAAATGGCACCAAGGCAAGCCATTTTCGTGGGCAGGTTCGAGCTTCCGAGCGACTCTCTACGACCCCTTCGCCAACTGAGAGGTGGGCGGCCCGATCAAAAGGGGCGTGGTAAGATCGTGTAAGGGCTTTGTAGCATGTTATATGTAATATATATGTATATGACGACCTTGTAGATGCGAAAAATCCCAACCGTCCGCGAAACATCCGCGATGAGGTTTGCGAAGCATGGTCATGTCATCATGAAAGAATTTTGATCAACCACCACTGGCCAACACCAACAGGTCACTGCCATATGGTTCCCCACAAGACCGCCCTTGCCCAAAAATGAGCATCGGTTCCAAGACAGGTGGTGATGCCCAAACTGGTGCATATGTTTAAAAGTGCAATGGTTCTTGGCGTCGTTTGCTTAAGGGGATTTGCGGTATTTGTAGTTGGGGTCGCCGGCAGTCCGACCCCGTGAAGGGCGCCTCCAGGCTGGACCGATGAGTCTTCTCGTGCGGACCTGGGCGATGCCGGCATCCCAGCCATGTCTTTGACTCTGAAGGCTTTGGCGGTCATGTGTCTCAGCCCCGAGATGGGAGAGAGGGGGATAGATGGGAGTCCACTGATTGGCTGAAGATTTTGAGGCTTGGATGGACTTGAAGATCCAAAGAATGGTCCCACTTGGTCACCAAACATGGTCCCACCGGGTCAACTGTTTGGTTTGGAAGGTTTTGGTGCTTCTGGGTTGAACCTTAGTAGAGCTGAGTGCTCGCAAGAACACTCGGCGTTTGCGTCACCACAAAACGCGAGTTTTTGCTGCTGAAGCGAACACTAAAATTAAACCTTATCGGGGCTTGGAGAAAACATGCACCTTTGTGGCCGTTGAGGGGAGGCGATGGCAGCGGTGGGTGTTTTATTACGTGACCAAAGCAGGGCTTCAGGGTCGGGTGTTTTTGCCTGTGGTGGTCCAACGCCTTTGGTCTTCTCAGGGGGAAGAAAACATATATATATATATGTATGGTGGAGTGAGAATAGATGGCACAGACCCCGGTAGGTGGTTTATATGGACCCCCATCTAAAGGACCTCATGGGGTCTGTGCCATCTACTCTGAAACCACTGTAGATGGTGGGAGTTTGGTGTTGCTTTCGAAAGGCTTTGTAAACATGTTAGGCCGCATTTTTGTAAAGCTGAGGATGCATGACGAGTGCCTCAACTCCGCTTTTCAACATGTCGTGGAGTGGGATCCTTGGATCAAAGAAGTCGGTTCATTCGATGCCTGTCACAAAGCATTTGGCAGTTGTGCCTCTTGACGTCGTAGAGGCCTTCCAAGAAACAGCACAAGGTAAAGCCTTCCCAAGTGCTTGCTTGTAGGTTTGAGAAGACCCTGTGAAAGGCTAGGCCTAACTGTACCTCTACCTTATAATAAGCGAGTTGTGTTGGGACACCACCACTGGGCATTTGCCCTGCCACAAGTGGGCCCTGCATCTTGTGGGCCCTGCCCCTTCTTTTTCGGAACCTGGTTGGTTCGTCTTGGGCCTCATTGGTTCGTGAAAGCCTTTGAAGAGCACCCCATTCTCTGGGCCGGATCGCCCAGGATCGAAACAGCTACGCGATCCCGCGCTCCGCAGATCGCGGCTAAGGGGGAGGAATCCGGATGAATCCAAAGGAGTTTCGCCGACCTCGGTGCTTTGGGTGCTGTGGTGATTCTGCAACATCCAAAATGGTCGGCTTAGGAACTTACACCAGCACCAGGACCCAACTTCAGTGACCGAACTTCAGGTTATGCCAATGTGACCTTTTCAAGACCTAATTCTGGGATCTCAAAAGGTCACTGGGAGGGCCCTGGCAAGTATTTTTGATTGAGATGTCAATCTAGTTCCTCTGGATGTCAATCATCTACCTCCACTGGCTGGACGGGCGCGAGATAGGCCCGCTTCTGGACATTTGGGGCTCAAGTGACTTTGGAAAATGCATTGGGAAAATGTGTTGGATTTGTGAATACAGCAGAGGCCTTCGGGCCTCATGTCACGAGGACTGCTTATACTTTGAGCTTGGACACCACTCCAGCGGAGCAGAGGGCTGCCAGAAAAGCTACTCGACGAGAACAGATGCGGGCGGGCGGGTGGGTGTGTGTGTGTGTAACCCTTGGAATCAAAGGGAACCTTAAGGTTTGGAACAGGGGGCTGGAGTGTGCTTCAGATGTCTCCAGCCAACGAAGACGCATCTGTCGCACAGTGATATAGTTCTGGGACGCCAGAACTACGTACCTGTTCCACTATTTAGGAAAACAGGAGGAAATGGTACTCGACACACTTGTGTGTCGGTGCCTTTCCTTCTGTTTTCCTCTAAGGCTACTCTACAGGTTTACAGGTAGGCCTCCAAACTTTGTAAGGGGTTCTTTAACTTGAACTTTGGCCTCTACCCACCAGATTGACCCCCAACTCGCTGTTTTGCTGTCTTGTGCTTCTTGTACTTTTGTGCTTCTTGTTACCTTGTAGCACTGGCCTCCAACTTGGTACCCTGGCCTCTACCCACTAGCCAGGACCTCCAACTTTGGCTGTCTTGTGGTTTTCTTGTGCTTTGTAACCTGGTAGCGCTGGCCCCCAACTTGGTACCCTGGCCTCCAACCTGCGATGACCTCCAACTTTGCTTTCGCTGTCACTGTGTGTCTATGGTCCACCGCCTACTAGCGATGGCCTCCAACCTTAGGTCTTCGCCCCAACAGCCTCGCGTTGACCTCCAACCAAAACCGCTGGCCTTTAACCTACTATTTGCTGTCACTTTGCGTCTATGGCCCACCGCCTACTAGCGATGGCCTCCAACCTTAGGTCTTGGCCCCAACAGCCTCGCGTCGACCTCCAACCCAAACCGTTGGCCTTTAACCTACTATTTAGGTTTCCTTACCTGTACCCTTAGGAATTGGAACCCTAGGCCGGCGTGTGGCACCGCTTTCAGTTCAGTATGCATATCCATAAGTGTGTTTGGCCTCGTGCCAACCCGGGATGAGCCCGCAGAGTGCCTCCCGTGGACCCGTTGAACGGGGGTTTGTCGCTGTTTCCCTTGCTTTGGAAACGTAAGTGCCCACAGCGGGCGAAGGTGGCCTAGGCCGAACGTACGATGATTTTTGTCTCATCTTTGGAATTCCAAGTTGGCTCATGCCTTTACGTGACCGCAGCGGTCAAAGCAGCCAGCCATTTCGGCAGGGCACAAGGTGACCACAGCGGTCAAAGCCAGTGTAAGGTTCATTGGAACCTGTGGAGAACTTAGCCCCCCTTCTCCCCCTTCCCTCCCCCTTTCTCTCTTTGCTTTCTGGGGTTTTCCTGAATGTAATACTCAGGATCTCCCCTTTCTTTCTTTGGTGTGTCCCTGGACGATTGTTCGTAGCTGGGAACACCTTCCTTTCTCTCCTCTCCCTTTCTCTCCCTCTCTCTTTCTTTCCTTCTCTTTTTCCTCTCTTCACCCTCTTCCTTGGGCGTCCCTGGATGCTTTCGTCATAGCTGGGAGCCCTTCCTTTTTGGTGTGTCCTTGGACGCTTGCGCCGTAGCTGGGAACACCTTTGCTTCCTTCTCTCCCTCCTTCTCTTTTCCTCCTCCCCTCCCCCCCCTCTTTCCTCGCGCGTGGCGTATTTACAAGCAAACTAGGCTTTTGCAACAGGTTTCTCAATGAGGTTTGGACTGTCATCGGTTTGCCCCCTTTCATTTGGTTCCCCTTTCATCCGCCCCACAGACATTTTTTCCTTCTTTCCTTTCATGTCCTTCTGTCTTCATGTCTTTTCATCCTCATCCTTTCTTTCTCTTGCGCGCACTATCGTCCGGACCTTAGTTTGTACACATACACGCACGCGTACTCTACTTACAGCGAGGTTCAGGTGGCCCAGGTTCGTTACAATGAGGTTTGGCTCATCGGTTGTCCCTCTTCACTTGGATCCTTTTCATCGGCAAACACACACACCTTTGTCTGTCTTGTCCTTCTCATTTTCATCTGTCCCTTTTGCGTGCACATGTGCCTACCTCCTTTCCGGGCAGGATGGAGGTCACACATGCCTCCCTTCGGGGAGGCGTGTGTGTGTAACCCTTGGAATCAAAGGGAACCTTAAGGTTTGGAACAGGGGGCTGGAGTGTGCTTCAGATGTCTCCAGCCAACAAAGACGCATCTGTCGCACAGTGATATAGTTCTGGGACGCCAGAACTACGTACCTGTTCCACTATTTAGGAAAACAGGAGGAAATGGTACTCGACACACTTGTGTGTCGGTGCCTTTCCTTCTGTTTTCCTCTAAGGCTACTCTACAGGTTTACAGGTGGGCCTCCAAACTTTGTAAGGGGTTCTTTAACTTGAACTTTGGCTTCTACCCACTAGATTGACCCCCAACTCGCTGTTTTGCTGTCTTGTGCTTCTTGTACTTTTGTGCTTCTTGTTACCTTGTAGCACTGGCCTCCAACTTGGTACCCTGGCCTCTACCCACTAGCCAGGACCTCCAACTTTGGCTGTCTTGTGGTTTTCTTGTGCTTTGTAACCTGGTAGCGCTGGCCCCCAACTTGGTACCCTGGCCTCCAACCTACTAGCGATGACCTCCAACTTTGCTTTCGCTGTCACTGTGTGTCTATGGTC